CCTAGTACAACAGATATCCCAGAAAATATAGAACATATACAGTTGTATAAATTCACACAATCACAATTTACATACATAAAAGGATTTAGTAAAGCATTGAAATTACAACATTTCATTGTGTTAAAAATGAGCTTAAAAACCAAAATCGGTGATTTCCCTGTAGATAAAAAATAATAAACCATGTGTTTCAAAAACTCTGTCTCCTCCTTACACCACCTTGCAAATCAATCCAATTGAATAGAGCGCTTAAAACAAAAGTCTAAAAACGGTTTAGTGATCTGTGTTTTCAGATTTAAAGGATCACTATAGTGCCAGGAAAACAAACTCGTTTTCCTGACACTGTATAACCCTTTGGTCCCCCACCCTCAGGGCCCCCCTCCCGCTGGGCTGAAGAGGTTAAAACCCCTTCAGCTACTTACTTTACTCCAGCGCCGGGATCCCTCGGCGCAGGTGACCTCTCCTCCCACTCTGACTTCAGCTCCCGACTGGAGCCAAATGCGCGTGCGCTGCCAGAGCCGCGTGCATTAAAAACGCCCATAGGAAAGAATTTCTCAATGCTTTCCTATGGACGTTCTGAAAGCTGAACGCGACTTTCGCATTTAGCGTCTCAGGAGCACCTCTAGCGGCTGTCAGGAAGACAGACACTAGAGGCTGGATTAACCCTGCAATGTAAACATAGCAGTTTCTCTGAAGGGCTATAACCTGGGGGACCTGGCACCCAGACCACTTCATTGAGCTTAAGTGGGCTGGGTGACTATAGTGGTCCTTTAAATAAAGTGCATACATATTTTCAATACAGTACTAATTACAATAAAGTGCTCACAAAAAAATGCCATATAAAGTGTTGTGCAAGTCAAAGCCAATATATAAAGTGTATAGTACAAAATAAATCCATATAAATAAAATCCACAATGAGAAGAGAAAAAAACAAACAAAAAGTTGATTCTCCACACATACAGAATACGAATGTCTGTAACAACTGCGAGAGTAAGCAGTAAAACTGAAGAAATACTCAAAATCATTGCAATTGATAAGGTGCCAGGTAGAAACTCCGATGCCAATTGTAAAAAAAGTTAAAAAAATTTTTTTGAATGGTTTGACTTCTTACCTCTAGGAACAATCAGTGGACATTCTCCTGTTGAGGAACTTACAGATCTCAGGAGAATGTAGCAGACAGGGAGTAGCACCTGGCTGTTTGTAAAACAGTTTGATTCCTTACAAAAGGTGTTGGGTAGGGCATTCTGAGAGTTGTAGCTATTCTACTTGGACTGATCCTTTAAGAACTGTTTGACAACTTACCTGGGTCTTCTGGATAATTGCATCACATCGGAATTTTCCTATAGGGTAGAGAAACCTTTAGTACACTTTTTAAATATTGGTTTCAAAATGTGGGACTATTCGCTTAATAAGAGGGAGGTGGATGTAATGTCTCCCCACAACCTGCACACATTGCTGGTAGTTGGGGGCTATAATTATAGACGTGGACAAGCCATTGTTCATTTCCCAAATTGTTCTACCCCGAGTGGCAAGATGGTATCCAAGACACTAGCCACTACAACAAGAATTGGCTTTAGTAAATATGACAAAGAAAAAACGTGTTTAGTGATTTAACCTGTTAATTGGAGTTTTGCACATGATATCAAAGCACACTAGTAGAAGGAGTCCAAAAACATAGCGATTCTTGGATACCTCTGGAGACCAAGTCAAACATCAAGAAAAGTGAACATCTTGAAGCTAGATGAAAGGATTAGAATAGATTTGCACTATAGTAAGCAATATGCACAATTTCTTTCCTTATTTTCTTTTTTTTAAGTTGTCATCTGACACTAATTTCTTTCAAATTTTTAAAATTTCTTTTTTTTCCGCAAAGACCCTAAAAAAGCGATTGGTCTGCTTCTATGGTGATAGGAGATTAGGAAGGTAGAAATAAATACTTGAAAAGCTCTGTTTATGACACCTCAATCTTCAGCTTCTGGCAGAAGTGGTGTCTATACAGAATCTTGCTAAACTGTTAGATCCTACATTAATCTGCTCGCACATGCGCAAGAAGATATCACAGGAATCTTTTGCACACTATGTAAGAAGGTCTATATTCGTGACAAGATGTGGCAGCAGAAGTTGCTTGAAGATCCTGCCCAATTACATTTCAGATTATCCAAAAACAAAATAAAAAGTCCCAAACTAGTCTGATATTTTCTTTTAATTCTTTATTTTATTTGTGCATAGTGGGAACAAACATTTGCACTGCCACAACAGCTGGTGCAGACAAATACGTAAACATCTTATAACATTGGTATGGCATCAAAAACAGTGCACAATTTTTGGTTTTTGAGTGTCAAGGCATAGAATAAGTTGAGTGTGGAACAGGCTTAAACAAAAGAGAGATTGCCACATATTTACAAATGGTAAGCAGATGAATACAGGATAGGTTTAACTAGTGCTTAGGGATATTAGACTGGTGCATCTGCTGTGGTTTTCACTGGAGGAGTGCACTAAAGTAAGCCTGCTCCGCTCTGCTAGGGCTGAGGTGAGTAAGGACGGTACATGAGTAGTCAGGTGAGGTGCACCTCAGTTAATAATTTAGCTCATCTGCAGAACAAAAAGAAACAGAGTCCTCGGCAGTCCAGTATTAATCATGACAGCTGTGCAGGTAGGAGCAACAGGTGTCCCGGTGAAGTGTAAGGTAGGTATGGGACACATGCAGTCAGTCCGCCTTAAGCCCTCAACCCACGTCAGTCCTCGAGGCCCGCCGCCCAGCAGCAAGAGTCCGCTCGGCAATATGTTGTGGCCAGTCGTTCTGTAAGATGCAGGGTGTCAGGCTATGAGCCGCTTTGATCGTCGGTGTGTAAGGCAGTACTGTCTCTTGGGTAACAATTTTCGCTTGTGTGCTCTGGGCCTCGCCAGGGGCTCAAGTTGGTGCGCCCCAGACCTTGGTAAGTAACCAAGTCCAGTATTCTGGAGGGGCATTTGGGACTCTGGTGCGTCGCTTTTACCCTTCTGCCACGGTGCCATTTGAAGGCCGATGCCCTTGCGCCACGAGCCCAGGGTCTTCCCTGTCGGGATTTTGCGGTGGGTCCTGTTCTCAGGTCGCCATCGTGAGAGTCTTATCACCCTCTGCCGGTGTGGCTGGCATCCGTGGGGTACCATCCCTTTTGCCCTCGGTCCAGGAGGGCCCCTTTTTGGGAGTCTGTAGTTTTGGGCTCCCAAACGCCTGCAGGCGGTGTTTCAGGTCTCCCCTCTGCTGTGACTGCTTGCTTTGCAGGTTTTATGTGTCTTGGCCTGGTGGTCTGCAGGAATGTCAGTAATTTGGCCCAGAAATTTTCGAAGATTATGTCCAACGGGTCTCTCACGTTCTCATTAGTGCCCTGCCTGGTAGGCTGCTGCTTGTCTCGCGTAGCCGGGTCATATGTGTCCGCCATATTGGAGGCCCCGAGCCCCACCTTGCTTGTTTGAGTCGCTGGCTGGATAGGGGTGCGGGGTTCTCCCTCTGGAGGGGATCGGGATATCCCCCACCAGTCCATAGGGGGGGGGGGGGAGTAGCATGTGCTCGTATGTAGCTGTGTGCAACTGGCGGGAAAGCAGCAGTCTTTCCCCGCCGCCTCCCACGATAGGCCTCACCCTGTTGTTGCACTGTCCGGTTATCCCGGGTGTCAAGTTTGGCATCTCCGGGTTCGGGTAGGTTACCCCAGTGTAGTGGACCGACTTGTAAGAGGTTTGTAGCATCACAGCTTGAGATAATCATCAGATTGTGTGCTCGTCAGCAGGAGCTCATACAGAGCGTGTCCTGTCAGCTCACTGGCTAAGCTCCACCCCCTGATATTATCTTTTGATGTCAATGAACTAAGAAAATCTTGCACAATTTTTCTTCTTGTGTTGCAATTTATAAAGGTGGATTCTCAAAGATTCCAACTTTTCGATAAACATTCAGTTACAGTGAGACTAATGGACACACCAGATTCTTTTGTTCCTCATCTTGAAAAATGCGTGAATACAGAAATACATAAAAAAAAAAAAATTAACTTTTCCACTTGAATCTTTTCAAACCTACTCATTTTGTTTGTCAGTTTGACAAAAGGCCTCCTCATAAGTACTTTGTGTCAAATTAACCATGTTGATCCATGGAATTCAATTTGGACTTGACCATTACAACACGCATTCAGTAATAAATAGATTGCATTTGCAGAAATCAGAATAAAGCTCAGTTCATTGCTGCCCATACCAGAACAGCATTTAATTACCTACTTTTATGTTGCTAAGCAGTTCCGCAAGGAAAAAAGCATATGTTACTTTTTAGATTAAAACATTTATTTTTACCGTAAGACTGAGCACAGGTTTGATTTATTAAGAGAGAACACTCTTTTGAAACCAATCGCTTTGCAAACACTTCTCATCCGTGGTAAAGATGAGACCATTTGCATTATATCGGCTCAGCATAAGAATGCAGAGGAGATAATTATTCACAGCTAATGACTTTAATCAGGTCAAGAAGAATTTAATGGACAAGTATTATATTCAAGCTCCGGACTTATACATATGAATTAAGCGCATATGGGTTTCCAAAAGGCAGGGAAGCAGATTTATGGAGCACTGACAAAACCTCTTGTTAGTTAAAGCTCTTTATACTTTTAATAAACAGGGTGATTTATGGTCCCTGGAGATTAATTTCCTTCCTTGAGGAAACAGTGGAGAGAGAAGCAGGGGGGGCTGTGGAGGATACCGTTTCTGCACTGCCCTCTATCCATGGAAAATTGAGGTCTATGCTTCTTAAAACAAACAAGAGGTGTGCCAGAGCACTGAGTACTCTGCGCTAATGAATGCCCAGCTCGGAAAATCATTTGTCACAGCACAGTCTTTAAAAGCCAACCTGAGTATGTTCCAGCTAAGGGGGATGGTGGGGAGCAGCAGCGCTGATTCACACGGGAGAAGATTAAATTTTAGAAAAAAATAAAATTTAAATAAAAAAAAAAAAGCAAAGGCGAGAAAGGAATAGAAAGCGGAAGTCAGAAATTATAGCAGATGAGGTGTCTAAATGGGCAATATTGCACTTTTTGTCTTAATTTATTAAGACATTTGTCATGTATCCAGCCACTTTTGCATTCATAGAGATATTGTTTTTCTGTCTCGATAAAGCTATTAAGAAAAAAAAAAAAAAGGAAAGTGCTCAGCTGGTGCAAATTAAACTCAGCAGAAAGCAGGCGAACAGCACATTACTTTCACATTCTTGGATCATCTGGTAAGGTTCTATTGTGTCCTTAAGTGATCATTTAGATTGAGACCTGTAGATTTTATGAAGGTATATTTCTTTCAGAAGAAATGAATACCTGAGCAAAATGTTTGCCATCATTGGTTGTCAAAAATGTTCTGTAAGTATGTCACAATAGATGTACTTTACCTACAAACACTCTAAAAATATGATGGATTGCAACGTCTACTGCCTTAGATTATCAAATGAAAACTTTCTACCTTTAATAAGGTCCCTGCTTACTACTCTTGGTTACTATACATCCTCTAATTAGGAGTTCATCACAGTAACAAAGTTGCAATAGCTGTGGACCATGTAGTGTTTCACCCGACAAGGGGACATTGTCCGGCCTGGGATCAAGGATGAAAAGAGTATAAATACAATCTAAACTACAAATTAAGTGGGAAGCAATCAATTAAACCCAAGAACATAAATTATCCCCCTACACTGTTAAAAATAGTGAAGTGCCAATACACATAAATTTGCAATGTGTTTTCGATTTGGTAATAACATGTGGAGTGAATACACATTCCTGTAGAAAAAATACAAGTATAGAAAACAGTGATTCGAATAGAAAGCCAAGACCAAAAAAACAAAACCAAAAAAAAATGCATAAAAGAGCCGTTTTCTCGGTGGAAAAAGGTGAAAACTAACCACTCTGGTCCTCACCTACCCAGTGGAGCTACTATGGGATGCAAGACCAAAAATCCAAGGCTGACAAGTGCCTGCTGGGCCAGAATATCGGAGACATGTTCCGAGGCACACAGAAGGCCGCATGGCACAATATGGCGCTCCTCAATGAGGGATCTACATGCTCCTCGGAGTACCTATCTTTCGACCTTGGAGAGGGGGCTTCGCTTCGTATTCAGTTGGGCGATCGGCCTCCGGTGCCGGACGACCAGAAACTAGTCACCGCAGCACTGCTGAAATCAATGCTGGCTGAGCTCCGAAGAAATATCGCAGGAGATATGGCATACTTCAAAAAAAGCAGTTGAAGGAGCAACTATTCAATCGCTCTGCTGGAGGCCCTAACGAAGCTCCCACGATGCCCAACGTTCTAAGATGGAGGCAAAGATCGAGGAACTTGTACAACAACAGCAGAAGGCGGATGGTAGAGTGAATACCTTGGAGGATGCACGGAGGCGATATAACCAAGCTCTGGGGCGTACCAAAATCACCTTGGCCCCTGGACTTACCGCATTTCCTACAGAGGTTTCTCGAAGCTTTCCTACCTCCAAAACAAGCCAAATCTGTAAAAATAGATGGCATGTTCCGTCTCCCCAAACCAACAGGTGCACTACCTTCCACAGCTCCGGACCGCTTTAAATTTTTACAGGACAAGGCCTTGCACTAGGCAGCAGTTAGGGGGAAGACGCCCATCTCGTTTGAAGGCTCCACTATTCTACTCTTTCGAGATCACGCATCATTTCAATCTACTGGGAGGTGGTATATCCCCAAGGGGACAACTCTGGGTCACAACTTGGCATAGGCCCGCTCAACATCCTATTATTTTCTCATACATAAAAACCCCTCATTCTACATTTCCATCTGGTCGCGTAACTAATTTCCATGTATTGATACCTCTCTCATGTTTACTCAACATCATTATTTGTTATTGTTAAAGGACCACTATAGGCACACAGACCACTTTAACTCATTGAAGTGGTCTGGGTGCCAGGCCCATCTAGGGTTCACCCTGCAGCTGTAAACATAGCAGTTTCAGAGAAACTGCTATGTTTACATTAGGGTTAATCCAGTCTCTAGTGGCTCTCGCATTGACAGCCGCTAGAGGCACTTCTCACTATGATTTTCACAGTGAGAAGACGCTGCCATCCATAGGAAAGCATTGAGAAATGCTTTCCTGTGGAATGATTGAATGCACTCGTGGTTCTTGCCGCGCATGCGCATTCGTCGGAAGAGGGAGGAGAGTCCCCAGCGCCGAGGGAGCCCGGCGCTGGAGAAAGGTTAGCCTTTAACCCCTTCCTCCCCCTATAACCAGGAGGGAGGGGGGACCTATTAACACTATAGTGCCAGGAAAACGAGTTTGTTTTCCTGGCACTATAGTGGTCCTTTAATATATAACTATACTATGTGACATGTTACATACTCATATTCTGTACTCCCACGTGGATTGAAAAAAAAAGAATGAAGAAAAGAATAAAAATAAAATATAAGCCAAAATCAATCTATAGAAAATGTGTTTTGCCTCATGTAGCTTGCCTTTCACCAGATTTTGCTACCTTTATCTCAATTGGTAGTACCAATACCATGGTGTGCTATCAGTTACTCTGAAAAAGACAATATAATAGAAATGTTTAAACCAAGACCAGAAGGTGGACCCCCTAAGCTGTTGTAGAATTACAACATCTGTTGTTGCTTTGCCAGGGTTAATTAAGAGTGTATCTGTCCTAGAACACACAACTTATGCTCTTTAGAAAGAGCATACAATTCTATGCGTCCTGCTAACAAATGTGTCTTTTTCCCACCTGTCAAATTCTTTGGCATCGACTACTGTGCCTAAGAACTGTGTGACAGGGACATTAGAAAGGTCCTCCCACTGGTGGCCCTCCTGCTCTCAAACCAAAGTATGCACTTCATTGCTAAGATTGCCTCCTACCCAGCTAGCTCTGGAGAGGGAGCAACGGAGTGACTGATGCTGCTCCACTAAGAAGCCAGTGTCACGGTGCATAATTCATTGTTGCACTCTGGAATATTGTCATTTATTGTAATTTGTATAGTGCATATATGAACTTGAGGGAGGTGGTATTGTCAATTCCAAAAGGTGTTAATTTGATTGTATGGGAGGGCAGAAGGTTTACAACCTAAAATTCCTCTTTGAAGCTGGGACCCCAACAGAGCTACTCTGTAAGGTGTGAGAAGTCACACATAAGTGGCCTGGAAGTCTGATTTAAATATAAAACAACTCTCTAATTTGCCATATGTCTAGATTCCCTCTTAGATAGTGGGTCTGATATGTTAATGGCCGTTAGCCTTGTGTTCCAGTATCATATCCAAAAGAAACATTAATACTTACCCACAGTTAATAATTAAGCCTCATTTTTAATATATTTGGAATGGGACAAGCACAGTCTTCTAATCAAGCCTAAACATGAGTTGCGTAACTTACGCCATTGGGCATGATTGTGATGTCCGCTAAATTGGGTCACAAGTAAGAAGTATGACATTTCTATGGAATGGAAAAATGGTAACATTCATAAATGCAATTATTATTTCTGTGGCAAGTACCAAAGAGGAGATAGAAGAAAAAGTTTCTAGTTGGATTGATGTTAGTCTGGAACACAAGGGGGTGATCACTTATTGTCTCTATAGGTACACCTTATCTCCACCTTTTGGGCCAGGCTTGGTAATCCACAGGGTATATATCCAATGCTACTGAGATATGTATTGTACTTGCTTGGGGCCAAAATCTAATTTTGAGTGAGTCACCATCTTGCCAAAGACCCCCAAGGCAGAAGTTTTACTTTGACAACCTGAGTAAGTGATTAGGACTTGTTATTTTATCCCTTTTGTTTTTTTTATCTGTTAATTTGATTGTCATTTATATTTTTGTATGCACTGTGACTATGTTTTGCTCATAAATATTCCTTTATTAAGTTCTTCCTTTGTCTGGTAAAGAATCACTTACCTGAAGAGACTAATTAGTGTTTTGCAATTGCTTAAATATTGTGCCAAGTTTTATTTGGTGGGTTTTCCTTATTAAGTTACCTGGTGGACCAAGGCATCCCATTTATAAATTGTCTTGGTGGCAGCATTAAAATAGTAATATTAATATTATTATGGTTAAGTGTGGGTGGTGTTAAGTGGGATTGTATCATTATTTTCAGTCTAGTGCAGACAAATAGTGAACTTTAACCCCTTTTACCATCACAACTACGTCACGCACACTCTTGGGCGAGTTCGTGACAGCCAGCATTCTGGTAATGAAACAAGCATATCAACATCACAGAGGAGGTTTGGGCCGCTTGGAGGAAGTTTCCCAAAGAAGGGTAAATTAAAAAAAATTATAATTAAAAATGTAAAAGTGAGCAGGTCAGAGGTGGGAGTTACAGAAGCCTTACACCCAACCAAGGTGAACACACTCCACCACTAAAATCAGGTCAGTCAAGTTAAAATTTCCAAACTACACATTAAATAAATTCCGGTAATAAAAGACGTATTCAATGATTTGGAGGGAGGGGAATTGATGTTAAAATTATCATGTCAAGATCAGCAAAGCATTGTAGGAGGTGTAGCTCTTCAACATCTTAGGATGTCTACTTCTTAGCTATCCCTGGTTTGAACTACAGAAAAAGTAAAAAGCCTGCAAAAACAAAAACAAAAAACACACTTGTCGGCGTGAATATAGAGTAGATATTTTAAAAACAATCCCTTCACTGAAATGCTAAGTAATCACATTGATATAAATAGTGGTATTAAGTAAACCATGGATGTGTGGTTGAGAATTTGTTTAAACAAATTATATATATATATATATATAAATAAAATTCTACTCTACATATCTGTAATTCCACATTAACAGAATAAGCTTTAGGCGTTCTAATCCCTGCTAGCAATGACCTGTAATGTTGGCAATAGCATGGTAATCATATATATTACATAAAGTCTCCACTTTATTATATAGCTTTACACATATAGGCAAAGTAAATAGAAAGAAGTAAAAAAAAAAAAAAAATGCATTAACATCAGGCCAGACGGTGATATCACTTCTATTGTTAGAAACGACAAAAACAGCTTTTCCTCAAAGGTGATGGATGTCACTTGTACAAGAATGACAGATTCAATTTCTCTCTCGACTCCTAGCAAATGAGACTTCCACCACTTTCCCCCTTCTATAACATGCTGTTACACTCACACAAGATCCAATTCCCCACTCAAAGAACATAACTTACTGTAACCCTTCATGTGATCTGAGGATGTAAGCAGTTAAGCAGACATATCATGTCTCTGATAACAGCAAAGGAAAGTTAAATACCGGACCTTCAGTTGAAAAAAAAAAAATATATATATATATATATATATATATATATATATATATATATTTACACACACACACACACACACACACACACTTTTTATTGTTGACCCTGAGGAAAGTCCCGAGCGGGGACTGAAACGTTGGTTGTTTTTAATTGATTAAAGTATTGTAATTTTAAGACCGGTGGGCAGTCTCAGTCTCTCTCTCTCTCTCAACAGGAGGTCCAATATCAGATTATGTTTGAATGCAATTTGAATCAATATAAACAATGAAACGTATCTTACCCGGAGCAACTTACAATGCAGCATTCTACTTGTTACCATAATTAAAGTGCACAGCAAGGGATGTTTGTTAAAAGGACACTACAGGCACCCATACAAATCATCTCAGTAAAGTGAGTGGTCTGGATGCAATGTCCCTGTCTCCCTTAACTCTGCAATGTAAAATATTGCATTTTTTGAGAAACTGCAATATTTACATTGCAGTGTTCAGACTGCCTCTAGTGGCTGTCTACCAGACAGCCACTAGAAGAGCTTCCTGCAGTTTCAATGAGTTTGACTTGAGTCAATGCTTTCCCATGGGGAAGGTCTAATGTGCAAGTGGCACTTGCTGTGCATGCTCATTAGGTTCCCCTGATTGGCTGACTGTGCTGGAAGCACACAACTCAATGCCGAGGGACTTAAGTGCTGGATTCAGGCATGTATTTAAAAAGTTATGGGGAAGGACGGGGGATGCTCCTGCAAGCGATGTTGGACAGAGGGTTCCTACAGTGTTAGGAATACATCTTTGTATTCCTAACACTATTATGCTGCTTTAATGTACAATATTTCAAATACCACTTTTTTTTTTGTTCCAAGTTTTGTGGCGTGGGCCCTTTATTTACCACCTCTACAATACGTTCTTGTTTGCATTTAGCAAGCAACCTAAAATCTACAGCTTCTTATTGATCAGAAGGCTGTCACAGTGCACAGGGAGCAATGGACCAAGTGACTATTTAGATGGAACTCAGAAAATCCAGAATTGAAAGATTTGACAACTTTTCTGGGATCCGCCAGTTGCAGCTTCCAGAAGCTCCTGCTAGGAGGTTCCATAAGCTCAACTAAACTAAGCACTGCTGTGTGTGTCTGGCTTATTTGCTTAGAACTCTCCATTGAGTACTTTGAGCTAATGAGTTAAAACCTGCAGTGTTGGGCTTAGCTTAGTGCTGCAGCTTCTGGCAGGAAAGGAAGTTTGACAATTTACCCTACAAGTGCACATGTACACTCTTGGCGCCATACCCACTGAAGTGGGCAGTAGTTGTTATGGTGCTTTGAATGTTCTTTATTAATCTCCATAATTCTCAGTCAGTATTTCTATAAAACTTACTGGAAGGGAAGGGGATCATGCAAGCTGTACTTTAACAGCTGGCCAGTAACATCATACAAATTTTTGTATAAACCAATATGCTTAAGATGGTCTTCATTTTCAATCCATTTTTGGGGGATAAAAAAAAAATTAAACAAACAAAAAAAATTCAATACAGCATCAATTTCAAGATAAAACCAGTAAATATTTATTTGCAATGAAAAAACAGCAGATTTTTCAATCAGAGGTGTACCTTTAAAAAGTCTAAAATTAGGTGAAACAGAGAGAGATAAAACTGGGTTTAGAAAAAGAAAAAAAAAAACGCAGTTCGTCTTCAAGAATTTATAAGAAAGTGAACATTGACATTCACCAAGAAACGTGTCTGGGATAAATATCCAACATTGGGAAGCTCTGCATGCAATATGACAAGCAGCAATCATAACATAATACAAATAGCATCTTTAAATTGTACAAGAGTTGTACCTTACCTTTTGATGACATTCATGGTTGTTAAGAAGACTCTAAACACCAGCAAGTTATGCATCTTACCTGCATTGACAATGGCGTCAACTTCCAACTTGGTGATGTCACCTTTAGTAATGGAAATTTTTTGATTGAGGTCCTTGTTCTTTGGATACTTCACTTCTTCTGGTTGTTGAACCTTCAACTCTGTTGATTTAAGAAGCTGCCATTAGGAGAATATGTTCTTTCATGATTGAGTGTTGCCTTATTTTGTTTCATAACTACACTACACTACACTTTGATTGCAGACTGAAAAACTTATTTTCTACCAAACACATTAAAGACGAAAGTGCTCTACACCGTCCCACTTAAAAAGACTAAATGTGCTATTTGTCATTTAGTGGCAATCCCCATAACGTGCTTCTTTGCAAAATAAATCCAGGTTAAAATGAAAATAAGAAACAAAAAATTTAAAAATATAATTTTACAGATTAGGTATAGGACAACACTATACCTGCAACAGATACGTTTCAGATTTTGTATTTTTTGTGGGAAACTTAGCGTTTACCAATCAGTTTTCCAAAGTGGAAGCACGCCCTCTGCCTCCCAAATTTAGTATTGCAACACAAATATTGTAAAAGTCTGACTTTGATGTTATAGCAAGCCAGGAGGCTCGTATTATGCATTAACTTTCTTTATACTACAGGGCCGTTGAATGTTTCAATCTGATTGGTTGACGAATGTTCTAAGGTCAAAATACTTGAGAAAGAAGAATGTAGCGCTTACATTCTTCTCTTTCTCAAGTATTTTGTTGTTTGAGGTGTTGGAAGCACCATACGAATGTTTAGCAGCTAGTTTGAAGATATTTATAACAAATTGTGTTTTTCTTAACTACTTGTAATAAGCGCTGGTTCCTATCCATCGAATGTTCTAATGTGTCCATTATTTTCACGGAGACGCACGGCTAAAGTAGTTCCAGACAGGTCTTGACTGCATTACAGTTGCGTAAGAAATTAGTCCTACATACAAGAGCATTTTAACGACAAAAACTTGACAAACGTCTTGAAATACATCATCTGAACAATGTTTCGAGGTGTGGTAACTGTAATAAAAGCGGAATAATTTACTCCAGGCCGTTGAATTATTATAAAAAATAATGCACACCCGAGGTGTAACGGCCACTCCGCATCACGGGGTGACCACATTACCACCTTGGGTGTGCATTATTATTCCTTACTTAACTCCAGCAGCAAAGACATTTTTTCAATAAAGTTTAGTGAATAAAAGACAAAAAAAACTAACAGATGGAACACTTGATAGCCAATCAGCATCCGGCATAGTCTATATAGTGAATGATCCCCAATTTTATTAAGACACGGAGGTTCCTATTATGCTGCACTCTTTCTTTATTTACCTCAGCAGCAAAGAAAAATAACATTAAATCAGTATAAAAGAAACCAGTAAATAACATGAGGTATATCTTCCTAGCAACAAGTACAGCCAATCAGCATCCTCTTTATAGCATAATAGGCAGTGTCCAGTATACTACTTCCTCTTTCTTTGCTGCTCCCTCAGTGACACTAGGTCCCATGGTTCTTAACTGTGGGATATTTTACTTTACTTTTATTCATATCATTACTGTGGTTAATATAGTTACATTTTAATTATAAAATTTTCATGTTTATAAATATATTTAGTTACTTCATTTTAACTTAATTAAATGTATTTACTTCAGTTATATGCTTTATTATATATCCTTTGATAATTTCTTACCCCTCTGATCTCCCTGGCCCCAAGATTACCATCAATTGGGGCTCAGGGGCGTCTTTGAGGACCTTTATCCCCTGAATAGTGCCATTGTGCTGTTTTTTTCCCCTTCGTTTACCTGTCTGGCTGCTGCTCTGCCACCAACTGCCAGAAATCCAAGTTGGGGTTTAGTTATAGGGGCAGCACCTTTGTTTTTTATATTACAATTGCTATTTTTTCACTATTATGAGTACTTTCATTTCTATATCCTGATTAATTTATTTTTTACTTGAGGGTTACTCAACCCTTTCCTTTTGCTATTATTTTACTTTATTCATCCCCTTAGGTTTGTTTGTAAATTTATGATGCAGTCTGACAGGATCTTTCTGGGTCTACAGCAAACATGCAGATGAATGTAGAAGCCTCTCCAGGTATCTCTGGAGATGAGGCTGAATTTCTGCTTTACTGATCCTGCTGACATGCAGGCTTTAATTGACACTTCCATGGCAAAAGCAATGACAAGGCCCTGGTGTCAGGCCGCAATGCCTCATAAAAGGCTAAACACTCCTCGAAAACAATAGAGATGGACAGTACCATGCCTGTCACAGATGGCGCGATTAATTTACCACCGCGCAAAAGAGCTACTAGTCGGGCAAAAATCGACTAGACTTTGAAAAAGGGCAAAAGCCCAATTAAACTCTAAATCGGAGTTCAGGGATATTGAGGAGGAGTATCTGTACTCACACCTGCTCTGCTTCAGCCTGGCCGCAAGGCCTCATATAAGGCTAAACACTCCTCCAAAACAATAGAGATGGACAGTACCATACCAGTCACGGATGGCGCGATTAATTGACCACCGCGCAAGAGAGCTACTAGTCAGGCAAAATCGACTAGACTTTGGAAAAGGGCAAAAGCCCAACTGAACTCTGAATCTGAGCTCGGTGATATTGAGGAGGAGTTCCCTGAGTCCAATATGGAGGATTCAGAAGATATTTCTGATCCTGATTATGAAATTACTGATGAAGAGGATGCTAATCCCGTTTTGGATACACGTCCTGTTAAACCTACCAAGATTTAGGTAGATTATACGGACTCAGGGCCACCGATAGGATTTTGGACACTCAATGTGAACCCCTATTCGAACCCAATGACCCGTGTCACCCAGTGGTCTCCTCAGACCATGTAGCCAAGTATATTGCATCCAGAGTAAGCAAGCCTTTTGAGAAGGCAAACTGAAATAAATTGCGGGCTAAATGGAACGCCGAACAGTCCCTGATGACTTATGTGACTCATGCAGCCAAGATCTTTGAAGCAGTAGAGGATGATCTAGAATTAGATTGCGCCTTCTTATGTGGTTAGATCCAGAGAATGATTTAAGTTGGCAACGCCAACAATGCGGTAGTCACAGAATGCCACAAATCGATCTTGCTCAAGATTGAGCCCAAACGTTTAACTATGGCTCTGAACGAGCCAGATAACACAGGCAAAAGGTTCTCTCTTTGGGGATAACTTTGTAAAAGAATTGGGCTCCTTTGTTCGACTAAACAAACAGAAGTTCTTTTAGACAGAACCAAGGCTCTTATACTTGCAGAGCTAATTTCTTTGAACAATGCACTATACCAACCTCCTTCCCACAAAGTGGTCGACCCTGGGTTGTTAGTGGCCTAAGAGGTGCTCCTAAGAAGTCTTCACAATTTCCATTCTTCCTTACGGATAGTGGGGGGCAGGCTCACATTTTCCCATGTATGATCCCTCATTTCATCAGATGCTTAGGTTCTTCACACTGTGAAAGGGTATTGCATAGACTTCCTTTCTCTACCTGTTCCAAGTTCCCCATCGAGGGAAATAGTTTTTTCCCAATGAGACGCAGACCTTGTCTCCGTGGACAATCAATCAATTGTAGAGATTCCGGCCCATACCCTGTGTTACGTGAGCAACCTTTTCTTGCTTCCCAAAAAAGGCAAAGGTAAAAATTTGAGACAGCTCAATAGTTATGAGCATATCAGCACTTCCAATATGGAAGGAGGGCATTGTTTAAGGGATCTTCTCCAACCAGCAGATTGGATGGCCAAATCGGATCTGCATGATGCATATCCCACAGTGCCTATCCCAGTACAACATCAAGATTGAGAACGTCCTGCAATTTACATGGTAGGACAGTAAATAGAGGTTCACGTGCCTCCCATTCGGACTATCTTCGGCTCCATGGTGCTTCACCAAGCTCACGTCTTATAATATATTTAGACAGCATTTTCATTCTGGCTCAGTCTATTCAATTAATCCGGACATATCTTGCATGGACTTTGACTCTGTTAGAGAGCCTAGGCTTCCTGATCAATTGGGTGAAATCCATTATCGTTCCCACGCAACAAATCAAATTTCTGGGTTATATTGGATTATTGTAGATTCTACCCTTCAAACTCTACACCTTCAAAATTAGCCAATATCAAGAAAGAGATAGGCGAACACTAGCAGCCTCTCAACTCTCTCTCAAACGGTTGAGAATGTTAGGCCTTCTAGCGGCATCTATACAGGCCAATTTTCCAGGTCTTCTTGGTTATCGAGCCCTAAGACGATTACAAACTTCATCTCAAGGGCAGTGCATCATACACAGATATGGTAACTCTGGACTCAGAAGCGGAGGATGAACTCCAATGGTGGCTTCTTCACATAGAAGCTTGGAATAAGCATACCATATTTTGTACAGCTCCAGATTTGATAAAAAAATCCGACGCAAGTTTGCACAGTTGGGGTGCTTAATGCGGAAATATTTCCACCAAGGGCAGATAATCAAACCTGGAATCGATACTCCACATCAATTGTTTGGAACATCTGTCCGGTTCCTTTGCAGTACACAGTTTCTCCCCAACTCAAGCCCAATGCGCTATCCTTCTGAAGATGGACAACGTGTCAGCAGTCCGCTACATCAATCACTTGGAGGCACAAAATACAAAATTGTGACCTACATGCCTCGTGACTTCTGGCAATTTTGCCTGAGACACGGCATTTCAGTCACGGCAGAATATATTCAAGGTCTCTCCAACACTACGGCGGACTGGTATTCAAGCCAACTCAGATTCCAGCGACTGGCACTTGGATTCCATGGTCTTCCAAGACATCTGGAACCTATGGGGTCTATTGGAAATAGATCTTTTCGTTTCTTGTTTGAATGCTCAACTTTCCCGTTTTGTTTTTTTTTTTCAGTTGGAGACCAGATCCGATAGCACTGGCTATGAATGTTTTCTCTAAGGAATTACGATTTTCTGCCCTTTGCACTGATTACCTGTTGCCTTTCCATCTACATCGCCAGTCCGGCACCTGGTGATAGTGGCTCCTCTATCACCGTCCCAACCATAGTTCTCTCCTCTTCAGGAGATGTCGACCTTCCATCTCTCGAGTGCCTTCTTCAGGATCCAGACGGTGTACCTTATCCCCTTGTTCTCCAAGGTCTCTTGCATCTCATAGTGTAGTCTATTTCAGGGAACCTTGGTCGGTCAAGGGAGTTTCGCAATCAACTCCCCAACTTATCAAGGGTGCACCCAGCACGAGACAGGCTTATAAATCTGCTTGTAGCAAATGGCATAGTTGGTGCATGAAATTAAATTTAAATCCCATATTGGCTCCTTTTATGTCTGTCCTCCATTTTTATGACTTCTATGATGAAGGTAAAGCCTATCGCACTGTGGACCTTACCGATGCGACAATTTCTGCTGGCCATCAAAGTTTCGATTGGACGCCTGACGGTTGACATCCTGTCATATATTGACTTCTCTGAGGAATATGGTTTGCTTATCCACCCTTACCATGATACGCTGTCTTGTGGGACGTCTCTATTGTCTTGAATTTTTTTTTTCTTGCAAGAGGTTTTTCTGACGTACGAGCTCTTGAGGTGGTTGCTCGTTCCTTTACTCCAGAAGGTGTCCTCTTTGACATTTCACGGAGGACAAAAACCTCCTCTAAAATCAATTTTACCCACTTTTCCCAGATAGATCTCTCCTTTGCCCTGTTGCATACTAATAGGTGTGTGAACATCATTCCACTACGTTACGGAATCCTTTGAAACAGGAACTCTTCATCTCCTTCCAAAAGTCACGTCTTCCGGTGTCTACTCTAGCCTGGTGGGTCAAATACGTTATGTCACTAGCAGGTATTGATACCTATGTATCTGTGCCTCATTCGGTTCGTGGGGCAATGGCTTCTAAGCCTTCGTCGATTGGTTGTCGCTTGGAGGATATTATGAGAGCGGCTGGTATTCGGAGTCTACTTTAGACCTATTCAACACTTCACAGGAGACAATTTCACAGCTTTGAACTAGCATAATAGGAGCCTCCATGTCTTAAATTTTTTTACAGATTTTACTATTAACATGATGTAAAGTCATGATTTTATTAATGACACGGAGGCGAGTATTATCCCTCCCTCCCATCCCTGGAGGTTTGGTCTTATCTGGGTAAGTTGACTTCACGGTAAGTCTTTTTTTATTACTGGGTTTTACCCTTGTTAATGACTGTCAAGAGCATAAGGTTTGACTAAACTGAATTTCATGTTTTATATATATATATATATATATATATATATATATATATATATAATATTCCATGTAATGCAAATTTATGCATAAATCCAGTTTTATACTTGGATATTACCATATTCTCCTTTCTCTTCCAGCTTGACTTCAAGATCCAGTTTAAGGCTCATATACCCTCTAACTGGAGCCCACTTTTTATTTGGACTTGTTGTCCTTGTTCGGGATCGCAAGAAAGAGGAAGTAGCATACTGGACACTGCCTATTATGCTATAGAGAGGATGCTGATTGGCTGTTCCTGTTGCTAGGAAGATATACCTCATGTTATTTACTGGTTTCTTTTATACTGATTTAATGTTATTTTTCTTTGCTGCTGAGGTAAATAAAAAAAGAGTGCAACGGGGGGCGTGGCCTAACAGCCGACGGAGATGGCGGCTTGAGAAGGGAGCTCCCGCGCATCCACACTCACTCGAGCCCCTGCAAACCGCATCGCGACCGCTCACAGACGCCTGCATGCCCCACAAGGGTCCCAGTACCACCCCACGAGGGAAGAAACGACGGGATCCGCTCACCCCTGCCCCGACCGTGGCAGACATGTTCGCGGCCTCAAATGCTGCCCAGGCCACACAAGATGGCCGCCGGACACGAGACTCCCACTCCCCACCAACAGGTACAGACAGGGGGCAGCCCGACCAGACAGGCGACGCCACCAGGCACATCCTCCAGCAGCTAACGGAGGTAAAAACTTTACTGGCAGGGGAGATCACACGCAGCACCCTAGATATTAAAGCAGGAATCCAGGCCCTGGGCGCCCGCACGGCAGAGCTAGAACAGCGCATGGAAACGCTAGTACAAGGTCACAACTCAGTAATAACACACTCCACAGCCCTGAATCAGCGCCTCAGTGACTTAGAAATGCAGGTGGAGGATCTCTCCAATCGCACCAGGCGAAACAAACTTAGAGTCAGGGGATGGCCGGAAGCAGCACAGGAAGGCCCCTTGGCACCCATTATGGAGGCATACTTTAGCAAACTGCTACCAGAAATACCCAAGGCCCAATGGGCGATGGACCGGGCACACAGGGCTCTGCGCGCCCGGCGCCCGAACGCAGACGCGCCCCGGGACATAATAATATGCTTCCATTACTTTTCAACTAAGGAAGCTCTATTGAGACACAATAGACACCAAGACTTCACCTATAAGGGCAAATCCATATCTCTATTCCAGGACTTGGACCCGAGCACGCTGCAAAGAAGCAGGGAGTGGAGGCCACTGACGGATCTATTACGGCAAAATGAAATCCGCTTCACCTGGGGCCACCCCTTTAAAATTGTGGCCTTCAAAGCGGGGAAGACAATCACTTACGTACCGGGAGGAGACCCACGAAAATTCCTCCGAGATCTGGACATCGCACCGCCACGAGAGCTCGCTCTACCGGGACCGGCTCGACCGGCTCTCACACCCCTCCCAAGGGACTGGTACACAGTCACAGCACAAGCGGAGAGAGAGGCCTGAAACCAGCAGCAGGACTAAACGGCCGCAAGGCTCAAGACAGCAAGCTCCACACGCCGGACAGATAAGCTCACCCAAGGGACAACCATAATTTTTTACCTGGGAAAAAATTTTTACTTTTTTTTTTCTCTTCCTCCAGCCCCTCAGGTATGGACGGGGCCCTGAGGGACCCAACGCACAGGGACCGCTACTTCCTAAATGCACTTCCCAGGCTATGTCGGGCTGAACTCTGCTCCGCCTCTAGAGGCGCAGCCTTTACCCTTTTATGTACCTTACTACATGCTTTATACCTCAAGCAGGAGATGACAGGGGCATGTTATGGGGGGAAGGAGGGACCCAACGCACAGGGACCGCTAGTCCTTAAATGCACTTCCCAGGCTATGTCAGGCTGAACTCTGCTCCGCCTCTAGGGGCGCAGCCTTTACCCTTTTATGTACCTTACTACATGCTTTATACCTCAAGCAGGAGATGACAGGGGCATGTTCTGGGGGGAAGGAGGGGAGGTAGTGCTGGCTGACACACGGCACACCACACGAACCGTCCGACAACACGAGGCCAAAGAGGCCAGGTAGACCTTGGGGGGGACTAAAACACACAGTGTTCGCACACTCTGAAGGAGACACACCAAGATATACCGCACCGAACTTTCATCTGCAGCTACTCGTTATAAGGTGGGGGGGGAAGGGGGCGGGGGGGAAAGGCGGGCTGACGTACTGACAACCCACGAATGTAATCACCACATACCACACCTCTTTTCGGGAAAGGTACCCCTGACGGCATCACCAATGACAAGATAGCACCCACGTACACTAGACGGGGAAACTAAGCTCAGACCCACCACACCCGCTGGTAGCATGGTGAAGGCCACACGTAGCTCTCCCACATTCCACCGACGCATACACGACTTGGACGAACTGGGGGACTACATCATAGCGAACATCCTGCGCCATTGGACGAACTAGAAACTTAGTACAGACGCGACAGAGAGCACGCTAACTTCTCGGCACCAGCGGTGTGCCCTAGACCAAGGGCTATAGCACAAAAACGGTTGCTAAACACAGCGCAGTGGACAGGCGCGGGGCACTCACCAACTCCAAGAGATGGCATTCCACACGTCACTCGGAGGGGGTGAACACCCCCACTTAAATCTGGCACAGGTTAAGACCAGATGGTTATTAAATGTTTATCTCTTATGTATATGTATGTTTTTAGATACTCAACATTTCTTCTTCTCTCTTATACTATTTCTTAAGACAAGTACTAATCTTCAACCCAACTACCCTGCCTGGATGCTGCCCGCGCCGCTGGGACTGGGCCCCACAACCGAACACACACACACACACCGCCCTCCGCAGTTCCCGGAAGACCATACAACGCTTATTGCGCCGACTGCGCCTCCGCATGGCTCTTAAGGTACTCTCATTCAATGTCAAGGGCCTCAACTCGCCCAACAAGCGTCGACTACTGGTAAGAGACCTAAAGACCAAGCAAATAGACATAGCACTGATACAGGAGACTCACCTCCCCAGGTCGGCAGCCACCAGACTAACGGACAGGACTTATACAACGGTGTACGAGGCGCGCTCACAACGAAAGCGGGCAGGGGTGGCAATACTCCTGCGCAGGAGTTGTCCACTGCACGTCACGACCATCCAAACTGACCCAGAGGGGAGATTTGTATACATAGGGGGCACTCTCTACACCACCAAAGTACACATCGTCAATGTATATGCCCCCAACGAGCCGGACCAGGCGTTCTGGACGAACCTGGAGGTGTTGGTGGCGGGGACGGGGGGGGGAGTCCTCCTTGTAGGAGGTGACTTCAACGCGGTGCCAAGTCCGGCAGCTGACAGGAGCTCTAAACCAGGCATGGTGCGATCACAGGGCAGAGGGGGACAAGACAGGCAACTACCCAAATTCCTGACACACACAGCCCTCCTAGACGCCTGGCGCCTACAACACCCAACTACGACTGATTACACTTACTACTCGGCACCACATAACACCTACTCTAGAATAGATAACATGTTTCTCAATGGAGCAGGGATGGCCAAGGTCCTCCACACAGACATTAACAACATCACGTGGTCAGACCACGCAGACATAACACTCACACTAGGCAACCTATGTTACAAGTCCAATTGGTCTTGGAGGCTTAATACTAGCCTCTTAAGAGACGACACAACACAAGCCACAACCCGACAAGCCATCACAGAATACTTTGAGATAAACGCAACCCCCGAAGCTAGCCCTACCGCGATCTGCGCAGCGCATAAAGCAGTACTACGCGGCCACTTCATTAAACTAGCCACACAGAAAAAGCGGGCTAAAACAAAACAGCTATTCGACCTACAGTCTGCCCTACGTAAAAAAGAGCAACAACACAAAACGAATCCGACAGACTTGAACCTTAGGGAACTCAATAACCTCAGACACTCTATCAGGGACCTCACCTTGGAGGCGGTATCACGCTCTATCCTATGGTCCAAACGCTTGTTTTACGAGAAAGCAAATAAGACAGATACACTCTTGGCTAGGGCGCTCCGCCCGAGACCGCAAGGCAAAATCATAACAAAAATACGCACAACAGATAACACACTAGCCGAAACGCCCGACGAGATTAATGCAGTGTTCACCTCCTACTTCTCAGAACTATACAACCATTCCCCCCGCCTCCGGGCCACCAATGCGGACTACATTGCAGACATACACCAATTTCTCTCTGAACTCACTATCCCAAAGGTGATCGGGGCGGAAGCAGAAGCACTACAAGAACCAATCACACAACTCGAGGTGGAGGCAGCCATAGCTTCCCTGAAAGGCAATAGGGCACCAGGTCCGGACGTGTATGACATTAGCTATTACAAACAATTCAAAGACGTATTAGCCCCCCAGCTGACGACCCTTAGCAACCATTTTCTGCAGGGTGGGACACCTGATGGCGACATGGCGACAGCAAATGTTGTCCTCCTACCAAAACCAGGGAAAGACGACACACTGGCCTCGAGCTACAGGCCAATCTCACTTATTAACACTGACCTCAAAATAGTCGCCAAAATCCTGGCGTCCAGACTCAACGTACTGCTCCCGCGCTTGGTCCACCCAGATCAGGTGGGCTTTATGCCAGGCCGCCAATTGTATGAAAACACGAGACGAGGGGTCAGCACAATCTGGCACATGGGGGAATCCGGGGCGCCTTCTCTGGCGCTCTCACTAGACGCGGAGAAGGCGTTTGATAGGGTGTTATGGCCTTATTTATTTGAATTACTCCGATTCCAGGGGTTCCCGGAGACCTTCGTAACAGCTATACGAGCATTATACACCGATCTGAGGGCACAAATACTCATCACAGGGGCACGCGCAACACCCTTCACCCTTTCCCATTATCCCCCCTGCTCTTCGCCTTAACCTTGGAGCCACTACTACAAGCTATCAGGCAACACCCGCACATCAGGGGCGTCACGGTGGGGGGGGGAACACCATTCACGGTCTCGGCGTATGCCGATGATGTCATGCTGACGCTCAGGGAGCCGAGACACTCTCTCCACCATTTATCGCTCGTACTGGAGCGATTTGGTAATATAGCAGGGTACAAAATTAACTACTCCAAGTCCGAGGCAATGCCCTTCCACCTGGAGCCCCCGGAACTCACCCACATACGCGACACGTATCACTTCAAGATAACCACTGACGAACTCACGTATCTAGGGATACGGCTAACAGCGAACACATCCTCCCTATTTGCCCACAACTATACACCCCTATTCCGGACCCTTCTCGCAGAACTAGAGCAGTGGACGGACAGGCCCATCTCATGGCTGGGGAGAGTAAACTCTATAAAAATGAATGACCTTCCGAGGATACTATTCCTCTTTCAAGCACTCCCAATAAGAGTAACACGGAGGGACCTGACGGGAATACAAAGAGCGATTGATGCCTTCATATGGCACAACAAACTCCCAAGAATCGCGCGCGCCCTCATGTACAGACCGAAACCCAGGGGGGGGCTGGGACTACCCAATGTCTACACCTATTATCTAGCTGCACAGCTGACACAGGTGATACAGTGGCACACACCTCCTGACAGGAGACGGTGGGTGGATCTAGAGTCGCTGATGACAGGTCAGGATCTCCCGCAATTTTCAATATGGGCACCCAAAGCGCAAAGAGCCATATTAAGAACAGCGAACCCAGCCATACTCAACTCCATACAGATTTGGGACCAAACCAAAATGAAATACGCCCTCAGCTCCCACCCGTCCCCCATGACACCAGTCCTTAGGAATAGGGCCTTCCCTCCCGGAATGCAGGCGAGAGACTATAAGGGGATAGAGGCCACGGGACTCCAAAGATACGTACACCTATATGTGAACCAAAATGTAGTCACCTACGAACACCTAGCCACCAAAGCCAACTTACGAACAAGAGACTACTTTAGGTACTTGCAGATCCTTGACTTTGCACAAAACCCTGACATACGGAAGGCGGCTCTGACACCACTAACCTTCTTCGAAAAACTATGTTACAATGAGACAACACAAACTAAACTCATTACGCTACTATACAACCACCTCAATGGGAACTCGAACGAGGAGGACACGCTGCGATACACCGACCAGTGGGAAGCCGACCTGGGGGAGGTATTAGAGGGAACGGAGTGGCAGGATATATGGGAAGCATGTAGCAAAACCACAATATGTGTGACGCTCCAAGAGCAATCGTATAAAACACTATTTCGATGGTACCTGACCCCCGTGAAACAGAAACATATGGGGCTAAGTGCCACAGACGACTGCTGGCACGGGTGCGGGGGGCGGGGCACGTATATACATATGTGGTGGGGCTGCCTGAAGGTCGCAGACTACTGGAGTAACATTGTGGAGCTTAGCTCCCAAATCCTGGAAAGGCGACTGGGATTAGACCCATGGGCATGTCTGCTCTCAAGACCCACAAAGGATCTCCCCAGACACGAGCAAAGACTTCTTAACATGCTCGATTTAGCGGCCCGAAGGTCCCTAGCACAACAGTGGTCATGTCCAGATCTCCCACATATATCCCTGGTTAAGACAAAAATGCGAGACAATTACATAATGGATAAATTGACCTCTCAGGTGCGAAACACCATGACTAAGTTCCAAAAAGTCTGGGACCTGTGGGAGCAATACGATACTTAGCACAACAACTTGGGGCGCGGGGCAGCATCCACGCAACTTTCAATTGGCGGGGCGGGGGCCCACCAAACGCCAACCACCACATCAACACTCGGACAGGCGGAAGAGGCACCACTGCTAGACGAGGGTGGGGCCGGGCCCAGCACATAAAACACAACTTAAGGGAACTGACTACCCCCGTCGGTAGTTCACTCGGTAACCATATCAAACTGATATAGCTAAACACGCAGGTACTTGTCTCCAACTCTTTACTTTCCTTTCTATCTCTCTCTTGTAGGCAGGCACCCCAGACCTGTAAGTAGGCAGAAGGGGAAAGGCAGATAAAAGCACATCAGCGTTTTGTGGTGCGTAGAAGGGAGGGAGGGCGCAGTCGCATACCCCAGGAAGCGGCGAGACTGACACTCCACTCTATAAGCCTAACCCTTCACAGCAAAGCTATTGTACGTAGTTAACACTGCTTGCCACCTATACCAAAAATTCAGACGAAGTCACCCACAGAAAACTTGATGTATATGATATGCCTAAACTGACAACTGTCACTTGCATTCTATATGCTAATGTATGACTGCGCTGTCATGTACATAAATGTAACTGCTTTCATGATTACCATCTACTTTGTCAAACCAAAAATAAAGAAGAGTGCAACATAATACTCACCTCCGTGTCATTAATAATATCATGTTAATAGTAAAATCTGTAAATTATTTTCCCGCTTTCTTTGCTGCTCCAGTAGATAGAAGCATCATATACTCACTTATGCCACTATTTTCTATATGATTACCTTCTGGTTTGGTTAAATATATTTGTATATATATTTATTCCTTTATATTTTCTGAAGTAGAGATATATATATATATATTATTTATTTTTAATGTCAATCTTTATTGAGGGATAAAGTAAAACAATACAGAAAGAAAAGCAAGGAGTTAGCGCACACAATTCACATGGTATGTAAAACATTAAGATAGCAATATCACTGCTGGAACTCCTTCGAAAAACATCCTCTTTTTTACAAGTTTCAACTGAGTATTATTATCCATTTTTAACAGTACAGAAAGTAAAGCAAGGAGTTAGTGCACATACATCACATCGTGTGTAAAACATAAAGATAGCAAAGTCACTGCTGGAACTCCTGCGAATAAGAGCCTCTATTTTACAAGTTTCAACTGAGTATTATTATGCATTTTTAAAACAGGTAGATACAGCTTGGTTACAGTTAGTAAGGGCAATTGAGCCTGGGGTCGCACATATGGTGGGTGTTCTGCCCCCGAGATTAAGAGAACATTTCACTTAGTACGGCATGACTTAATTTTTGCTAGTTCTACAGAGTCTGACATTAGGTTAGCGATAACAAGCCAGGCCCCTGTCAGAGTACTATACAGGTTAGTGTAACTGGTTATGCTGGTGTGCCCAGCCCTTAGGTATCGGAGGGTTAACTGTCAAGGGGACCAGGTAGATTATAGGGTAGGTAGGTCTAACATGTCAACCAATCACATATGCCATGTGTAAATACGCTATGGCTCAACTGCCCACGTCTTGCTCTGTTGAGAATGCCACTGGGTGTGTAAGCAAGTTCGCTAAGCCCAGTTGGTCCACAGCCCACATTCTAGGTTGCAATATAGCAGTAGTAGTTAGAGTAATCTGTGTTAAGACAATTATTCCTCTTTTAAGACTAAGGTGTGTGTATATGTATCAATTTATAGCAATGCCCTAAAACTCTCTAGGAGTGTCAATGTGACATTTCAATTACTTGCCATAAACCAGGGTAATGAGCATTGCAATAGTCCTCAAGAGTGTTCAGTCTACACCACAGGGTGTGATGGTGCTATAATATATGGAAGCTAGTCCATCGGGTTGTGGGGGGAAACCTCCTCGATCCCACATACGATTTGGGGTCTGCCCTGCTTCTCTTACATGTCTGCTCAGATCATCCGTGCTGCGATTCTTCCCTTGCACCTCCTGGGTTCCCGTCGCTTGGGTGCCGTGTATCTTTGGCCCGGGGCCTTAGCGGGTGCCCTTACCACATGTCCATTGACCCCCATCATCAGGGTCGTGGGCCCAAGGTTCCACCGGGTCTCGGCAGCCTCCCTCGGTGTATGGGTGGTGTTGAAGAGTTACCTCCATGTGAGCTCCCAGCTCGGAAGAGGATTGTGCGGTCACAGGAACGACGACGTCTCCTTGAGTAGTGGGAGATGTTGGATGGGGGTTGCTCGCTTATGGTTAGCAGCAGAACAAGGAAAGCGGCCGTCCCTCCCCTCCGCTGCCTCCTCTAGGCCTCGAAATGCAGCATTCCCGGTTGTTTCGGGCGTCGATTTTGGTATCCACGGGTACCTACAGGCTTCCCCATCCATGTAGTTACATTATGTGGGGTTTCCAACACTGTAGCCCAAGTAGTCGTCGAGTGTGTGGCCCATACAGCAGGAGCTCATGAGAGGCACGACTTGTCAGCTTGCTAGCTTGGCTACGCCCCCAGTTTTAGATCTTTTCATATTTTTTGGTTTAAATATATTTGGTTTATATACACTAGCATTCGTGCTTTTTCATCTGAATTGAGTTTGCGGTGCATCCAGTAGTTTTCACACAAATTGTTACTATTCAGTTATTTCGAATGACTCGCATTCGGTAGATTTCTCGCAAACTGCGGCCAATTGTTTTTTTTTTTATTCGTTAATTATGGGCCACACACTGCGTTTTTTTTTTTTTTGTACGAACGTGTATTTCACGGTTCAGTTTAATTCAGCAGTTTTTCATGTGAACCGCTGCACAAGTGATTTCAGTTAGTCCCTCATAGACTGAGGGCGTTATGGGCGGGAATTCCAGTTCGTTGGTTCTCAGCTTACTTTCCTGCACACTTTACCTCAGCACAGCGTTTCTCCACAACTTTATTGGTACTTATTATAACTTTGAAATTATTATTACTTTCCTGTCAGGGTTTTACCTAATCTTTTGCAACATTATTTTACTAATAGCAATTACAAATGACAATTTGTTGCAATATTGAACAATTAATTCTAAAGAAATTAGACAAACTCCTTCTCAGTCACCAAAACCTGGTGCTACTCATTACTGAAATCCTCACTGAGGATTCTTTACAAAATATTATATAGACTTATCTGTTCACAAATCAGTTTCATCTGCAATTTATTCTGCGTTGTCTTCCATGCAATAAGCAATTGCAAAGTCTGTGGCCCAGGCCATAAGCAATTCAAAACCTAGTGACAAGACTCAATTAATGCTCCTTCAGTCACCTGTGGAGTCAGAACGGAATTTAGCTCAGTGATTCAGGAGATCTGGGAATGCCACCCAGAAACGCAAACACTGCTTTGACGGTCCTTTAGAATTTCCTGGCTGTTCTAAGTCATATAAGGTGAGGGAAGGACCAATACCAAAACAAAATGCATGTCTCACGCAAAACTGAAGAGTACAATCACTCAAAAGAACGTCTGCTCGTGAGGAAGACAGACGTTCTCAGAAGGCCATTCACAGGAGCAAACCCGACTCCTATAAAACTTTCTCAAATGATGACAAATATGAATCTGATTCTGCCTTGAATTATTTATTTGTTTCAGAGGCACATGAGCTTCTCTCTAAATCTGAAGAGATGAAGAGAATATTATAATGGATGTTAATGGGAAACCATTATTTGACCCAGACCCCATCAAGCACCCTAGGTCAGCCAAATGGGTCCCTACGGCTCATGTAGCCAAATATCTTTGACGCTGGTTGAGGAAACCCCTTGACCAAGCGGCTAGAAATAAGCTAAGAGTTGAATCCCCTAGACCGACTCTGTCTAAGAAAGTCGCACAGTTCCCTGATCAAGATCTCACTATTGTGCAATCTTTCACAAAATTAGGGAAGAACCCAAGTAAAGGACTTGCCACATCACTAAAATATTGTCAAGATAAATTAATGGGCATATCTGGTCCTGTGGCAAAATGTTTGAGACTTTAGAACAAGCTGCAGCTTCTGGAATTCCTCCCAGCATTGATATATTCAGAGGTTGCACACAACGCATTGTATGCTTCTTGGGGAATGCTAACGCAGCTCTGACCAGCAAACGCCGCAGGTCTATTTTAATGAAAATTTACCCTCAGTTGTTGAATTTAGCCACTTCTGAACCTGGATCAGCTGCTGAAGGTCTCCTATTCAGAGAATCCTTTATTAAAGACATTAATAAATATGTCAATTTATTTAGCTCCCTTGATAAGGCTCAGTCATCTCTGAAAGTATTCAGGAATCGCTCTTGCAGTCGCTTTTTTCAACATAGACAGGTTCCAAGGTGCACCTTCCAGCCCACCAGGCCCTCATATGACACCCAACAACCCCATTCTTCCAGCTACGTGGCAGATCTTGGAGATCAAGATGCCACCAGGGAATGTCTCGCTTCAGATCTTCATCCAGTACGTACGACAATTCCCCTTTTTTTCCCCCTAGAATGGTTTGGGGGCAGTCACAGACCAGTCATAAATTTAAAATATTTAAACAATTTTGTCAGATACCACCATTTCTAAATGAAGGGATTTTATTATCTCAGAGACATATTGATACTCAACGACTGGTTGATCAAAATAAGTTTGAAGGATCCATACCTCACAGTACCTATTCGCTATTCATGTCAGAATTATTTACAATTCATATGGGAAGAGAAGAAATGGCAATTCAAATCATTGCCATTTGACTTATCCTCTGTAGTGTTTCACCAAATTGCTCAAACCAGTATTATGCCTACTTCGAAGCAGGGGAGTGAGAATGACTATCTAGACAACATATTTATGTCACAGAGTGTGTCAATGGACATTGAATCTGTTAACAAGCCTTGGCTTATAATACATTACGAGAAATCGATTTTAACTCCCTCTCAAGAGATAGAATTTTTGGGATTTCTAGTGAATTCCAATTTAGCCACTCTCAGTTTTCCATCATGGAAATTGAAAACGATTCGGAAAGAGATCAGGTCAGTTCTGAACAAGTTATTCATTTCCATCAGATCTCTGGCATGGATTGTAGGTCTTTTAACAGCCTAGATTCAAGCGACTTTTCCAGCTTCCTTCATTATTGGGCTCTTCAAAGTTTAAAAATAGAACATCTACACAATGGTCTCCTTTATTCAGACGAGATCTCTGACTCCAGAGACAAGAACAGAACTATTCTGGTGGTTAGATCACGTTCAAATTTGGAACGGGAAAGCCATCAGCACTTCATTCCTAGATCTGATTATAGAATCCAACGCGAGTCGAGCAAGCTGGGGAGCCCGTTGCGGGAGTAATTCAACGGGAGGCAAATGGTCTCTAGAAGAGAATGCATATAAACTGCCTGGATTTTTTTCGCTCTACGCAGCTTTGCTAAATAAATATCCCATTGTTGTATTCTTCTCAAGATGGACAACATATCAGCAGTCCATTGCACAAAATTGCTTACAAGGTACAAAATTCAAGCAACTGACGGACATTGCCAAAGATTTTTTTGCTTTGATCTAAACAGTTTTACGAGCAGAATATCTTCCCAGCCTTTCCAATACAGTAGCAGATTGGAATTCCCATTTCCTGGTGGATTACAGCAACTGGGTGTTGGATGCCAGCATCTTCCAATGACTACTTTCCTTGTGGGGTCCTTTTCAATACGACCTTTGCATCACGACATTCGCCAATTGGAAACATTTTTCAGTTGGCGTCCGGATCCAGAGACAGCAGATCAAGATGCATTTCTCCAGTGCTGAACAGACGGAGTCAATTATGCATTTTCCCTCATTTGCAATGATATCTCGGGTACTCTGAAAGCATAGTCTCAGAAATCAACCCTAGTGTTAATAACCCCCTTTTGACATGCTGATTACCCACGACTCATACAGATACGTTGCGATGTTCTTCGCGATCCGGATTGAAATCTTCATCCTCTAGTAATATCAGGCCAACTACCTTTAATAGCATCTCTAATCTCAGGTCATACAAATCTCGTAGTGAATTTTCAAACTCAACTAGAGACATTCTCTCAGAAGCATGGGCACCAAGTACCCGTGCAAATTACAGAGCAGCCTGGAAAATTTGGCTTAATTGGTGCATGGAATGGGCCATGGATCGCATACATTCAGATTTGGCAAACATTCTAAATTTTTTGTCAGACTCATTTGACTCAAGCAAAGCTTATCGCACTATTAATGTCTATAGATCAGCTATCGCAGCAAATCATAACCCTACTGAATTTTTCCCTGTAGGCAAACATCCCTTAGTCTGCAGATGTATGAAGGGTATCAGATTTAAGCGTCGTCCATGCCCTAAATATTCTACTTGGGATGTTACTCTGGTACTCCAGTTAATAGAATCGTGGGTTAACAATAACAAATTATCCTTAAAATTGCTTTCGTTTAAAAGGAGCACTATAGAGTCAGGAACACAAACATATTTCTGACCCTATAGTGTTAAGACCACCACTAGCCCCCCTGGCCCTCTCTTGTCTCCTTAAATATAGTAAAAATATACTTTTATTCAAGCCTGAAGCTGCTGGCTCTGCCCCTGTCTGGCTCAGAATAGCAAGTTGTCTGCTGACATCATCAGAAGTGCTGTTCTGAGCCAATCATAATGCCTCCCCATAAAATAGGCTGAGACTGTGAAGGAGGCAGATCAGGGGCAGACCCATCACAAGTCAAACACAGCCCTGGCCAATCGGCATCTCCTCAGAGATAAATTGTGTCTGCATGCAGAGGGAGAAGACACTGATATGTTGTGAGGCACACTAGGTAAGACTGAGATAGGAAGCAGCTCTAGCACCTATCTGAAATGAGAGTGTTTACAGCAAAAAGCCTGAAGGGAATGATTCTACTCACCAGAATAAATGTAATAAGCTGTAGTTGTTCTGGTGACTATAGTGTCCCTTTAAGCTTAACACATTACTGTCATGCTCACTCAAATTTCTGTCCGTGTTCCTGCTTCCAGTCTCCACTCCAGCGGTTCCAACGCCGGCCGCTGTAGCTCCGCCCTCATAGGACGCGGCACGACCCTAATGACATCATGGCCCGTCAAAATGTCAGGATCGACCGTTTTGGGGGCTTGGCTTCCAATTTAAAGAGCCAGCCTATAAAACAAAAAATTTTACTTACTGTAAATTTATTTTTCCAGAAGATTAGAGGCAGTGCTTTACAACTGGGATTTCCTCACCTGGAGGGGAAAAAAAAAAAAAACAGGCAGGCAATCTCCCAAACTTTTCAAGAACTTCCCCCAATTAACCTTTGACCTCATAAATTGCTACCTACCCAAGACATCCCCAGAAATCACAAAAGCCGAATAACCGTACCACTCAGACTATGAACAAATTTGGGGGGGGAGGGGGGTAAGAGTAAACATTGCCTCTAATCTTCTTGAAAAATAAATTTACGGTAAGTAAAAAATTTTGTTTTTCCCTTCAATCCCTTAGGGCGGGACTCAATTCTCACTTCAAAAAACCTGCAACCAAAGTTGTATCTTCCAAGATCAACAGACCAAACTGAGTGAAGAGATCACCTCTAGGCTGTTAGGAAATCGAGAGAATGTATAGCAGAAGCCCTCAGGCAACTGATCTGAACATAACTGTGATCGAAGGAGCTTCAATGGAGATCGGTGTAAGATAAGAAAAACCCAAACGAATGCAGACCTTTAGGGTAACGTAGACGAGAACTAAATGCTGTTGGGAAACGTTAGAAAACTAATGTTAGATGGAAGAGTGAGAAGAATTAAAGAATCCAACTTAACTCCACTTTCTCCTGCTGAAAATGGAAACTTGAAGTTCTTCCCAAAAATATTTTGGGCGACTGCCCACAAAGACCTAGAGTGAAGACTCAAATCAGCAAAGTTAAAAAAAAAAAAAAAAACCCGAAAGAAGATCCCATGCGGAAAAGATTCCCTGAAGATAGGAACTAACCACGAAAGAGCCTAGCAGATACTGGTGATTTGGAGACAAACCTCTGAAAATCAACTGATAACCAAAATTTGACCTTGAGGATCTCTGGCTTTAAACCATCCGCAAAGCCCATCAGAAAAAAAAAAAAAAGGAGGTTAAAACTTGAAAGCGGATGCCTGCTTTTCTATGAACCAATATCTGGAAAAACAAACAAAGAAAAAAAAACACCTTCCATACATGAAATAAATCTTGGAACAAGATCCATTTATAGTAAAAGAAATTGTCAATAATTTCCTGAGACAAAAAACATTATCCTTCAGTATCTGGTATACATAAACCAGGTCGTCAGTTTGAATTACAACAAATTTGAGAAGCGGTACCCTTGAGAATTCCAGGATGCCTATTTACAGGTAAGATCCCCAAAGATTCCTCCGGATAATTTTTGATGAACGGTGAAACAGGTACTTGCCACCAAGGGAGGGTGACTATAATTCTCACCTTTTCCATCCTATAGGATCTTGGGGAATAGGGAACCAGGAGGAAACTATAGGTTAGACTGGAATTCCCAAGAAAGAAAAGGAAACCAAAGCTTACTGGTCTGTCCAAGTTTGTCCAATGAAACACTTCATGTTATCGGTTTGATCTAGAAGTCCCAGTTCCATAACTGGATAATCAAAATCTTTCTATTGTTTGAGTATGAACCAATCTGCTTTGTATTAAATGTTGACTACTCAATGCTACAGCTAAACAGAGGAATATTAAGTTCTATGCATAAGTGAATAGACCTAAGAAAAACTAACCCAAGCATATCCTGGAACTAGATTTTTCAAACAAGATGACCTTGTTTGTACATAATTACTACCGATGTAGAACTATCTGACCTCATCTGGATAAGATAATACCTGTTCTTTATCTGAAAGGAAGAGCGAGCTAGCCAGATATCCAACTACATAGGACAGAAGGCTAAGTTTTTACAAATTATCTCAGCTAATTTCCCTTCAACCCTATGAGAACCTAGCTGAGACCTAAAGCATCAGTCATAAAATTCTGAACGATCGATTTGAGAACTAGAAAAAAAAAGTAAGAACCGTCTGGCATCCTTTATTTCTGCCTGGTTCAGAAAGGAATGACCGAAGTATAGGATTTTACTGCAAAATCTTATCAGCAACTGTATCTGGCCTCTGAAGGACCTGTAAACAGTGCTATGCCTAAAGAAGCTGAAGAGACCAAGCAGGTTCTTACAAGACGGGAACCAATATTATTTCCCTAGTATCTGGTCTACTGAAGTAGAAGAGAGATTTCAGGTGATAAGGACAGAGAGAACCACAAATTTTCTCTTCAGGGAATTACCTTTCTCCGAGAGTCAAAAACCCTTGTCAAAATATTTACACCTGAACTGTTGCTTGACAAACACCAGAACTGCACACTTCTTGAAAAGGGAATTCTTTATCAGAAGATTGATAACATCCACCTGTATGCTGTAGAAACACCCTAATCTTTAGGGGCTGGTGCACAAAAAATAATTAAGTGCCCCTGAGGAAGCAGTATTGTAGAGATTCAACACATTTATGGATGGCAACATTTTGCATAGTGAGAAAATTTCAAGTGGCAATTGCCATAAGCTTTTTCTTAAAAGAAAACTGCAGACAAACCTAGGCAGTAAACCATCCCAGTCATATCGTATCTATGTCAGTGCATGGAACAAATTGAACCTGGTGGAACTACACCTTGATCAATAGGTTTGCAGCTGTACTAGAATTTGCTTCAAGCCCAATAACATGAGGAAGAAATCATTTTCCACGGAGACTAGTTCATACATCTTTACCATCTTTAATGGCGGAAGCGAGACTGATTACATAGATATACAGTCTGCATAAGACAATACCCATGATCCAGGCCTTCCTTAGCCGTAATTGGGAAGCAGAGGCTGGAGCAGAAAGAATATCTGCAAACTGCATTTCAAAACCTGTTTGATGCAGACTCTGCAGGAACCAATATTAGTAAGCAATCATAAATTTTCAATTCCAACCATCAGCCCTACCTGATAGAGTCTTTCCTTAGCCGTATTTGGGAAGCAGAGGCTAGAGCAGACAGAATAGCTGCAACTGCATTTCAAAACCTGTTTGATGCAAACTCTGCAGGAAACAATATTAGGAAGCATTTTCTTTAAAATTTCCATTGCAACAGTCAGTTAGCTCAAACCTATCTGACAACATAGGACTTGGAATTTAAGATAAAACTTAAAATGTGCAACCATGGAGTGAAGTACAGGAAAAGTTCTGCCCCAGCTGAAAAACAGACTGCCTTTTTAGAAACTGATATCAGCTGAAACTAGTTGAGGTGGTGAGAATGCTAATTGCAACAGAGCTTTGTCTACTGCAATTGCTAAAAGCCTACTGCATGTTTAAAGGACCACTATAGTGCCAGGAAAACATACTCGTTTTCCTGGCACTATAGTGCCCTGAGGGTGCCCCCACCCTCAGGGACCCCCTCCCGCCCGGCTCTGGAAGGGGGAAAGGGGTTTAAACTTATCTTTTTCCAGCGCTGGGCGGAGAGCTCTCCTCCTCTCGCCGCTGAATGCGCACGCCAGCGCTCATCGCATAGGAAAGCATTTTCACCTATAGACGCTAGGCTCTCACTGTGAAAATCACAGTGAGAAGTACTAAGCGCTCTAGTGGGTCAATGAGACAGCCACTAGAGGTTTTGGGGGAAGGCTTAATTCCATTCATAATCATATAGCAGCTCTGAAACTGCTATAATTATGAAAAAAGGTTAACCCTAGCTGGACCTGGCACCCAGACCACTTCATTAAGCTGAAGTGGTCTGGGTGCCTAGAGTGGTCCTTTAAGAAAATCAACACTGCGGCTAGGATTCTGGCATTTAAAGAATCCATCTATTACAACAGTATTTTAACTTAACCAAAACCAGATTTTAAATATCAGCCTCCTAAGGATAACCCTCCAATAGTCACACGGCTCTTGCTCTTGTGAATATATTCCACCAAACACTTCACTTTAATAGCTGACCCTGTTGCAGGAATTAGTGATTGTTGAAACCCATATTAACTAATCACTGTGTAGCAGCTATTTTGAGCCAGAAAGGAAACTTACATTTTCCAAATAGCATATACTTTTACATAATTCTATCTAATACCCTTTATAGGCTTTACTCAAAGAATAATCTATTTTGGGCCCGATCTACTAAGTGCTTACCCTTTCGAAGCACTATTTGTTTTAAGATTTTAGTAATATTTAAGTGATGAGAAGCTAAAACCTCTCCAACTTTTTTAGCTTATCCATCTTGCAGCATAGATAATTAACTTATTCAGGCTAGAGTCATTTAAGATAAAGCAAAAAGGCTTACCTTAAATGACCGCAGAGTGTGTTGGAGGTTGGTGAGGACACACTTGCAACAGATTTTGAGTGTACCTGGCAACAGTTAGTTGCTGCTGGGTAAACAGCCTCTCTAAGTCCTGGAAACCAATATCTTGACCCCGGAGAGAAAAAAAAAATAATAGAGATATTGGCGCCTGAATTTTAAATCGCATTACGCATGTCCTGCATTTTGCAATTCAACGGTGGAAATAAACGTAACCTGTACGAGTGTTCCACCGCCAGGACTTCCCAGCTAGTGCCCAAATGCGCACCTGGCTCGGTATAGACAGAAGTAATACAACCCGGGGAGATACAGCCGTCTGGTGTGTTATCCCTGGCTGATGGCTGAAAAATTTATTTAAAAGTAGAGCCTCCAGAGACTCAGCCCTCTCACCATACTTCTAGGGAGAAAACCTGAACCTGACACCCTCCTCTGCCGGATGCAGGCAAAGAACTGGGAATGTCTTGGGTAGGAAGCCATTTATAAGGCCAAAGGTTAAGTGGGGGGAGGTTCTTGAAAAGTTTGGGAGATTGCCTGCCTGTTTTTTCCCTCCAGGTGATGAAATCCCAGCTGTAAAGCACTGCATCTAATCTGAAGGGAAAAGGGCCGGTTCACACATAGGAGTTTGCCTTGTTGTGCTTCTTTTGTTAGTTCCCAATAGTGCTTTACATCTGGTTGTTCCATTTGGTATTTTGACTTCAGCTATCCTGACTGCTCTCCATTCTCCTATCTTGACTCGGCTCACGTACTTCGACTATCCGAATATCTGGTTTCCTGACTTGGCTTGTATACCTCATTTTTGTGATTTCTGGCTCCCTCGCCCCAGGCCTGTTCTTGACTATTCTCTAGCGGTCTAAAGTAGAGTCCAGCCACTCTAAGGTCTGGTATACATTTTTCTATTACATTCTGCGTGTTGTGTCTTAATGGAGTCTTGACAATTACTATGCCTCATTTAATTTAAAAGAGTTTGACGTTAAGGCTTTAGACCTAAATAATAGACAATATACTCCTGATGGTGTTAATTTCTCTATTGTTAGACGTACCAAAACTAATCTTGCTCTGTGTTCTATTCTTTTTCTGGCCATCCTCTTCTATGTGTTGTCAATTGTCTTTAAACATATGAGCTTAAAACCTCATCTATAAGAAATTCTAATTTCTCTCAATTGCTAATCTCTTTTCATAAACCTTTTCTGCCTGTCTCCTCTACATCTTTAGCCAGATGGGTAAGACTAACTATGTCTATGGCAGGTATTGATATTTCAGTGTAGGAGCTATAACTACTAAAGTGTTTCAAGCAGGAGGCTCTTTACCAGATCTGTTAAAAATCTGATACATCTACATTCAAACAGTTTTATTTTAGCATGCAGGTTTCAAAAATAATTTTGTAATATCTTAACTATGTATTTGATATATATTTATATGATTATTCAGCTTTTAACAGGTTTAATACAAGTATCCTGTCTTGCTATCAGATTCAGATTTTCCTAGTCTAACATATATATGTCACTGGCACAACCTAAAGTTGGCAGAGCCAGCTTGAAAAGGGGATGGGTCCACCCAGATTGTTGGCTGGTCATCCTGATAAGCTGCCTATCAATCAACCAGGCCAGCCCATTAATGGCAGCCCATGCAGCGAGCACTGTTTCAATGCTCTGAGCAGGGCGCATCTAGGGACCAAGCTGTGCTTTTTGAAGGTAGTTCATCAGGTGGCCCAAAAGCGGGACAACAGAGTAAAACGTCGGGATAGGATCCAGAAAACAGGACGTTGGACGAAATTAGGAATGTTGGCAGGCATGGTAACCCAGGAATCAACAATTCCTTACATTACAGGCATGGTAATGTAGGAATCCACAACTCCTTATCCGGCAAATAGGCATCTCCATCTTAACTTCCTTTCAATCATTGTTATAAACCAGTCCTTTCCACTTCGAAGTCAAAATAGAGAAAGCACAAATTAAAGAGTTACTCCTTACCTTTTGAGAACGGAGGGTCTTTACTGTATAATATGCTCTATTTGGCACTATGGATAAGGTCCTCACTTGCCATTTGCCCTGCAACCTGCCTAAAAACAGAATTACTTATAACTTACTTTTTACTTCCAATGTCACAGGGGCCTCATGTGGCCCAACCAGTTGCTAGAGAAGCCTGTGATTGGTGGAATAGTTTGCCATCTCACAGCACATGCGTGCACTGTGGGCCGGTAAAATAAATGTATGCAAAGGAGGGAGGTGAGAGGGACGGGATAGATATATTCCCCTTGCAGGCAGTCTATTTCAGAAGTGTAACTCCACTTCCAACATTGTCACTAAGGCATCATTAGCCAACCCAGAACAAGGGGCAGGCGAATGTCAATTCTGTACATATATCTATGCGCAGAATTATATTTATGAGTTCTTTAGGTACCACATGCCAGCAAGAGAGGACCCTGGCGCTAGGCAGGAACAGGCAAGAGGGCAAACCAATACATAACGGTTTGCCCCATTACTACAGTGGGCTGTAGTGGTTATGATGCTTGAACTAACTCTTTAATTGCATCAATTCCAGAGAAGTGATAGTTTCAATTTAAAATTAAGTTTCCACAGTGTCATCTACAGTTCACAGTGTTGTACTCTTCAGAATGCACAACCAAGAAGGCTCCTGGAAGATGAAACATGAGGAGCTGAGGAAAGACCTTGGTAGAGAAGATGACAACACCCAGAAGGGAAATTTGCACATACTCTACTATCGTTCTCTCCCGGCCACTGCATAAAAAGTACACACGTCCCCTATGTCCCTTTGAGGATTTTTGCAAAACATGCAATGAAAGTGACAAGTCCGCATAAAAAAAAACAAAAAAAACAAAAAAACTTCATTGCACTTGTGCTATTCACCAGTAATTTGTCAAATATTTTACAAATGATTTAACATTTATCTTACCATAATAGTTACCCATGTTTCTTCCAGTCTGAGTTAATCTGATAAAATCAGAGGCTTAAACTTCAGCATCATCATACCATCTCATACCAAGTTTAAATGGAATTAACTAGCTGATAGCCATCAGCTGACAAATTCAGCCAATGAATACTGTTTAACCCAGGTGTGAAAATGTGACTATCAGATCAGACAAACCAAGGACACCTAACATTGCAATTTGTAAAACAGCTTGATTAGGTATTGGCAGAGGGTATGTGGGAACTGCAGGCACCAGTGATGCAGCAATGAGCAGAAGAAATTGGCAACATAAGATTTGGCTGCCTGAATGGCAGCCCTAGTGTCACAGCAGGATCTGCAAATTACTTACACTGAAAACAAATCAGGATATTCCTGGTGTTTGCAAAAAATGAGACACTGACCAACATTTCTTCCCCTTTTGCAAGGAGTGCAAGTTTAACCTGTAGTTTACTTCAGGTCTCACCAACATTTTATAGTTTATGCATACAACCTGCATATCTACAGAAAGCAATTATTTACCAAATATATTGCTGTATGTTAGCAAGAAAGAAAGATTAAAAAATATATATATTTTTTTTTATACAATAACAAGCGGTTTACACTTCTTGAACCCTCACTTTTAGCATGGTCTTTCCAAGATGGAATATCCTTAAGCGTGATATAGTCTTTGATACCATAATGTTCACGCCTCTTCTTAGTGTCCAGCTCTTTGAGGAACTCTATAAAAAGTAAAACAATAACATTTTCAGTTAATGTCAAGTCTGTCCAGCATATAATAAAAAATAAAATAAAAAGTGTGTTGTGGGTTTTTTTAATAGTTTTACCATACTTATCCCTCAAATAAGAGAATATACACACACACATATGCATGCACATATTGTCCAGTATTACATTTTACAACAAATAAACCCTGTATAGTGGTGCATTTTTGTATATATTCCTTTACTATTCTCACTTTTTGCTTCCTTCCAGTTGGTGGAAGGGGAACGCAGGTCAAGTTTACCACTGGTAGCCATGGGTCGACTGGACCAAAACGGCGGGAACGTTTGATAAGCCGTACACCTGTAGGGAGGATTCTGATTCCGAGCCAGGGAAGATTCCAAGTGGGCGTGGCTACGGAGGAACAACTTTACCGGCGCACGCTGATTGGTCGACGGGCCCACTTGATGGAACGCGGCAGATTTAAACCAGGAAAAGGCTAGTGGGAGAGACGGCAAACGGGACCGGCAGGGCTGGACAGCCAACGTCTCTAAAAGCCAAGCTCGACGGAAAGGCTGGAGAGTGAAGGAGCGGGGCTGGGTGAGCAGGACAATAATCATCTGGGCAGGTTATTATTAGCCGCCACACAAGAAGCAGCTGATTGGGGGGGATTTCCCACCGGCCAGATATAATTAGCACGCAGGCGAATTGCTCTTCCTTATATGTATGAAGTTATGACAGGAACGCGACTTGGGAGGTATCCCGCTGACAGAGCTGGGATACCAGGAAGTGTGTGGAACGCACGTGCGTTCCACGCCTCAATGTCACGGCCAAGTTTGGACTAGTTTTACAGCACCTGCTGGCTTCTGTTTTTATTTATTTATTTTCTTCCTACTCTGTTCTAGCCTACCAGGCACATTGCAGCTACTTCATCTGTATTATCTGAATAATGTCACAAAATGGTTTGGTTAAATGCAGGTTTATCAGATTATTTTAAATTTATTTTTTTTAAATTTAAAACCCTTTTGGAAAGGTAGAATATATATATATATATATATATATATATATATATATATATATAATATTTTTTATTTATTCTACTTAGCCACTAAACTACACAGGTGAATGATGGCAATACACACCTGAATAGTCAATTACAATATGTCTACCTATAAATTCGGTCCAACCAAATTCCCTCAGTCCAGTTAGATCGTGTGTCTTTAGCAAAATTTTGATAACCTATTCTCCAATGGAGCTAGCTGACAATAAAAACACTTTATTTAAGTTGAATTCATATTCTGTTATTGTTTATATACATTAAATTAATATTATGTATGAATTTTATGAGTAATTTCAAGTTTAACCCCTTAAGGACGGAGCCAAATGTACACGTTGTGAAACGAAACAAAATGTAAACAAAACTTGGCATTTGCGCTACATGTCTGTCCAACCGTAATTCACCTCTTTCATAGTAAATGCACCCACCCTTATTATATATCATTTTATTCAGGGGAAACAGGGCTTTCATCTAATATCAAATATTTAGCTATGAAACATAATTTAATATGAAAAAAATTGGAGAAAATAAGATTTTGGTTTTTTTTTTAGTTCTACATGACATTTTAACTGTCAATGCCATAATACGGTTTGCTTTTACTCCAATAAAATACACATTTGTATTCAGCAAACTCTCACGTGTAAAACAGTACCCCTGTGTACAGGTTTTATGGCGTTTTGGGAAGTTACAGGGTCAAATATAGCACATTACATTTGAAATTGAAATTTGCCAGATTGGTTACTTTGCCATTTGGTCACAAACACTGGCCAAAGTTAGCGTTAGTATTTGTTTGTGTGAAAAATACCAAAACCGCCAATTTTGGCCAGTGATTGTGACTAAGTGGCTACTAAAAAAAGACTGGACATACCCCGTTTGCAATACCTTGGGTTGCCTACTATTGCAAATGGTATGCCATCATAGGGGTAATTTTCATTCTTGGGCTTCCATAGGGTCTCAAAGGCACCGTAACCAATCTGGCGAATTTTAATGTGAAAAAAAGAAACGCAACCCTTGTATTTGACGCTGTAACTTTTGAAAACACCATAAAACCTGTACATGAGAGGTACTGTTGTACTCGGGAGACTTCGCTGAACACAAATATTTGTGTTTCAAAACAGCAAAAAGTATCACAGCAATAATATCGTCCGTGTAAGTGCTGTTTGTGCATGAAAAAGGCAAAAAAGTCACTTTTACTGGCGATATCGTTGTAATACACTTTACTGTTTCGAAGTCTCCTGAGTAGAACAGTAACCCCATGTACAGGTTTTATGGTGTCTTGGAAAGTTATAGGGTTAAATATAGTGCTAGCAAATTAAATCTGCCACGGGGGGGCTCCCTGGGAGTCCCCCCCCCACCACGATCGCCGGCATGGGGCGACCGGGTAAGTAAGGAAAGACCGGAGGGCGTACAATTACGCCCGGCGGCGTTTAGAGCCGCCTAAAATAGGGCGTAATTGTACGCTCTCCGGTCTTAAGGGGTTAAAGGACCACTATAGGCACCCAGACCACTTCAGCTCAATGAAGTGGTCTGGGTGCCAGGTCCCTCTAGGATTAACCCTTTCTGCTGTAAAAATGGCAGTTTCAGAGAAACTGCTATGTTTACAAATGGGTTAAAGGACCACTCTAGGCACCCAGACCACTTCCGCTTAATGAAGTGGTCTGGGTGCCAGGTCCAGCTAGGATTAACCCATTCTTTTATAAACATAGCAGTTTCTCTGAAACTGCTATGTTTATGAATGGGTTAAGCCTTCCCCCAAAGCCTCTAGCAGCTGTCTCATTGACAGCCGCTAGAGGCGCTTGCGTGCTTCTCACTGTGATTTTCACAGTGAGAGCAAGCCAGCGTCCATAGGAAAGCATTGTGGATGCTTTCCTATGCGACCGGCTGAATGCGTGCGCAGCTCTTGCCGCGCGTGCGCGTTCAGCCGACAGGGAGGATCGGAGGAGGAGAGCTCCCCGCCCAGCGCTGGAAAAAGGTACTTTTTTATTTTTATTTATTTTTTTTTTTTCCTTCCAGAGCCGGGAGGGGGACCCTGAGAGTGGGGGGACACGAGTATGTTTTCCTGGCACTATAGTGGTCCTTTAATCCAGCCTCTAGTGACTGTCTCTTTGACAGCCGCTAGAGGCGCTTCCACGCTTCTCACTGTGATTTTCAGAATGTAAGTTTTGAGAATGCTTTCCTATAAGACTGGCTGAATGCCCGTGTGGCTCATGCCGCGCATGCAGCCGATGACTCGAATGGAGGAGGAGAGTCCTTGGCGCTGGAAAAAAGTTAAAGGATTAACCCCTTCCTCCCCCTAGAGCCCGGCGGGAGGGGGACCCAAGGACCCTATAGAGCCAGGTAAACGAGTATGTTTGTTTTTCTGGCACTATAGTGGTCCTTTAATCTTACCAAAGCATGAAACCTACCATATGAAACAATATAATACATTTTACATACTTGCCAACATCAGGTGAAAGTGGTCAGGCCTAAAGGGGTCCCACTCAGGGTAGACCACGACAGAATTTGACTCTGTCTGTTCAACTATAATTTACCTCTTTCATATTAAATGCACCCACACTTAGTATATATCGGTTTGTTCAGGGGAAACAGGGCTTTCATTCCATATCAAACATTCATATATAGAACTCCATTTTATATGAATAAAATCTAAAAAAAATTAAGAAATATTGATATTTTTCAATTTCTGCATGTCAATTTAACTGATAATGTCACAACACTGTTTGGTTTTAATACAATAAAACATACATATTTGTATTCAGAAATGTCTCATGAGTGAAACAGTAACCCCCATGTATAGGTTTTATGGTGTTTTGGAAAGTTACAGGGTCAAATATGTCTTGTCTATTTATTTTTTACATAGAAATTTCACAGATTGGTTTGCTGGGCCTAGGTTGCCTTTGAGACTGTATGGCAGCCAAGAAATGAAAATTACCCCTTAATGGCATACCATTTGAAAAAGTAGACATCCCAGTGTATTCAAAATGGGGTATGGCCGGTCTTTTGTAGTAGCCACTTGGGCACAAATGCTAGCCAAAATTAGTGATTATTTTTTATTTTATTTTATTTTTTTGCATTTTTCACATACAAACTGTACTTTTACTGATTATTATTGTCAGTATATAGTTTACTGCCCTGAAACACTCCTAGTTCTGTTCAGTGATGTCTCACGAGTGCCACGGTACCCCCCACGTATAGGTTTTATGGGGTTTGGGAAAGTTACAGGGTCAAATATACACTTGTTCATTTTTGGTTTTACACATTGAAAATTTTTTTTTTTTTTATGGGCCTATCTTGCCTTTGAGAGAGCATGGCATTTCAAATGGTGCATTTTAAGATGTTTGATCTAACCACTTTATCAGAAAGAAGGGCCCAAATAGCGGTAATAGTGTTATTTGTGCTTTTTTTTCCACACATGAACTTACTTTTCGCAGGACACTTCCTAATCCTGGTATGAGTTGTTGCAACAAAGCCTCACTATTTTTTATTTTTATTTTTTTTTTTTTTTTTTAACTTGTCTCCTAAATTTTACTATTCCCATGTACTGGATTTTCTGTTTTTTGGGGGAAGTCACAGGGACAAATATATTAGATGTCCATTGATTTGCTGGGCCTGTGTGGCTATTTAGAGAGCATGGCAGCCTGGGTAATAACATTTCCACCGTTATGGCATACCATTTTCAAAAGTAGGCAACCCAGAGTACAACAAATGGCCGACCTTGAGATTTTTGGTCTTGCCATTTTAACAGAAATGATGGGCCCATGTAGCAATTTCTACTTTTATTTTTGTCTTTTTAATCACATAAATTGCATTTTCACTAGAAATGTCATAATCCTGGTATTAGTTAATGCACTAAAACCTCAGTATTTTGATTTAACACTGTGTTCTGAATATAACAATACCTACATGTACAATGTTTTTAGTATATCACAGGAATAGTACAGTACCCCCACATACACTTTGATCTGAAGACAGAGAGAGGCAGATAGATCTTTGACTCAGATACTGTAGCATTAACCCTGTGATTAGTTTTTTGCTTTTTTGTGAAGGCACATTTCAAGTACTACAAATGTAGTATTTTGAGTTGTTTGGTGTAGCCACTTTAGAATGGCTAGCATAAACAGGCACAGGCCAAGGTCAGGGGAATCCAGAAGTCAGAGTAGTCGGTAAAACAAGCCAATGGGTCAGTACAGGCAGCTAACGAAGCATAGTCAGGACAAGCCGAGGTCAGGGAAATCAAGCAAACAAACTGCCAAAGTACCATACAGAGTGATTTAGTAGTTCAGCTCTGTATGGTAGACTTTGAAACAGTCTGTTATGCAGAGGGCGGGTAAGGATAGACCGGAGGGGCAATAATAACTGGAGTCCTTTCGGACTCCTCTTTTCCAGCAAACACTGCATTTTCGTTGGGGGTGACCTTTTACAGGGTGTGGGGGGGATTCGGGAAGGGAAATGTTTGCTGAAAAGTCGTTGGACATCTTCTGATTCCAAAGGAGGGTTAGGATTTGGGGTCTGGGCAAATATAATTTGGACCATAAACTCTAGAAATGGGCATGGTCTACCTATGGCTTCCTTTTTATAAAGCACATAGGCATTGAAAATTGCAATCTGGGTTATGTAGATTGCAATTTTCTTGTACCAGGTCCTACTCTTCCGGTTCACCAGATAGGGCTGTATGCACTGATCAGCCAAGTCTACTCCCCCATAAACTTGCTGTAGTCTACAATGC